CATCATATCATGCAACATTTCTTTAATGTACTATCCATTGCCTAATAAATGAATGTTTGGGGCAAATATGAAATCCAGCTAAAGTATTTAGATAAATAAAAAATGTTGGTTATGCAGAAGTATACACTGGAAATGGATGTACACCTAGAAGTTTTGATCACTGGCACATGATTAGATTGTTTTAACAATAATCTTGACATCATTCTTCTAATAAAAGACAGAGCATTGCTGACTATGTGACTGTTTTTAGTAGACAATATGACTATCTTCTCATTATCTTATGAAATAAAATGTCCGTATTTACTGCCCAGATTAATTTCTAAAACCTTTTTATCATTTTGAAAATATACAGCATACAAAATATTAGCCCAGGAAAGTGATGTGAGTTCTTCAAAAATTTGATTTTGCTTAATTTTTACTGTAATGAAAACATCAATTTTCAAAGTAAATTATGTTATTCTGTGTGAATTATTAACTATATTCATCAAATATGAATGCAAAGCCAAACTCATCAAGTGCTTATGATAATCGATAATTGTATTTCTGGTATTTGAAAGTAGTTTCAAATTGTAAAAGTCCTTATAATTCACATAAAGTTATTCTAACATAGAAGCCCACTTATGTTATGTTCACATAGTCAAAATAACAATAAACCACAATTAGGCCATTTAAAATTATAATTGAAAAAACTGAATTTTATTCATTTGAATATATGTTGGATCATGTATCCAAATGCATTAAAATGTTTTCTTAATCATGTATTCTTGTTTCTTCAAGCATCCATTTAACAATATTTAAATGAACAAATGACATTTAATTAGTTGGTCCGCAAATGAAATTAAATGCCAATCATGAAATCTGACAATAGTACTTTTACAGAGATAGGTAGATAAAAAGGAATAACACTAAAATGTGTTGTCTGATTTTTCACTGAATACCAATTTTTTATTTAATATTTTACTGCTACATTAAACTTTGAAGAATTTAGTAAGGAAAATCCATTGCATAAGAGTGAGATTTTTAGACATTTGCTTTCTAAATCAATCTGCTCTCTGATATAAAAAATTCCAAGTTCTCTTACACAAGAAATGAAAAAAAAAAATTTCAGTGCTTTATCTGAAAAAAAAACAAATATTTAAAACAAGATAACTTTTCCCATTTGTTTTAAATCTTTCAATTACCATTTTTCTAAATAATCCTTAAAATAATCTCTCTGTAATTAATTTCTAAAGTTAAAAGGCATCAAAGAAAAATATTGTATAGCCCTTTGGAATTGCAGTGATATAAAGCTTGACTTATTTAATAGAACAATGAGTAGTCAAGAGTTCTGGTCTTACTATTGTCTAATACCTGAGGCAGGTATTATTTTCCAACTTCTTTTCTGGAAAGACAACTTTGAATATTTTGATAATTAGCTAATAACCAAATGGTTAATATGAGGCACTGATAGTTCTTGTAACTTCCAGTACTGCTAAAAACAATCATGTTATCTGTTTTGCTCATTCAGTTTTCTTCAGTGGACATTAATAAAAATGTGCCCCGAGCCAAATCAAAATGCTACTTTGATTTGTAATGCCAATACACTAAGGTCTTTGAAAATGATCAAATTGAAAACGGTCCATCTTGTGTGTTTTGGAATAGTGTAGGAAGCATTTCAAATTAAAATACCCTGAACGTCAGGACTTGTACTCTTCCCCAGTTATCTGACAGAGGGGAAGAAATGTTTATATAAGAAAATGAAATTACCAATGACACCATTACAAATTGGTCTTTATTCAACAATACATTATGGAAATCTATCAAGAGATAAAGACGAACCTTTTTTTTTTCTGAATAAGAATAGTATGTAAGAGTTTCCACTCACTGAACACACTTTTTCCTTGCACTTTCCCCCACTTTTAGCTAGAAGTGCTGAGAAGTCATGAGTCCTAAGTGACAATCCTCTTTAGCCAAGTTTCCATTGGTACATCACTCATCTCCTAATCCATCTTTCACTCAGTCTTATGGCATACTTTTGCTCATATTCTACATTTCTTTTCTCTTACTGACTTCATTTCTCATCTACCTTATTTTCTCTCTTGGG